TCAAGAATTGGTATTTCAAGTGTTTGGGGCCAAAGGTAGAGGCTTGCAAACATATTTCTGAATAGATTTCTGCAAGAACCGAGAACATGGTTGATTCTTAACCAGCCAAAAGTAAGCACACATAACATCCGCAAACACCAAATTTAAAATATTATTTAGACCCAATCCCTACCCAAGAGAGAATCACCAGTTTAGCACCTGATGAATTGATAAAGGCAGGTATTGACATGATGTCCCCTCCTAGTACTTTCACTCCAAAACTACGTGTGGCTGCAATCAATGAAAAAATTATCATACAAAATGCACTAATCCATTCACTTTGAATTACACAGAGATAGAATCAACACCTTGAGTGAAAAAAAGATTTTCTTACCTTCTCCATCAAGACACTGCAATTTTTCCAAAGCACGGAAAGGTAGGAACAAGAGGTTTCAAAGTTAACCGAGGTGCCGCAAATATTGCAAATCCACTAACTGAGAAGAAGCAGAATCAATCTCGTGAAAGAAACATAATTTCTTGATATTTATAGGAACTAAAAATATTCATTCTTCCGTTAATATTTTGTCCTTAGACTCTTCTGACCTGAACTGTAATTTGGAAAGACAACAATTTTATCACCAAAACCATGTTGGGATTGCCGCCAATCTCATTGCTGGTTCCATTACTAGCTCCTTTACATTGGTCCATAGACCTGATACCTGAAATATTGTATAAGTAAACTTAAATGAAATGCAAAAGAAAAGAAGTGCCAAGTCTTGCTAGCATCCTGTATCTTTGGGAAATTGAAATAAATAACTCAAATAAGTGATCTGCTCTTCCTACATATGCTAATCAAGATTAAGCATAAAATTGTTATGAATACTTGATTATTTATGTATGATTCTAGATTGACAGCAATGTTTCCATTCTTTATCTTGAACTTCCAACATAACTTTCAGAGATTCTTAAAAATACATCAACGAGATCCTAGAAAAAATTCATGTGGCAAATGAAATATCAGCATATAACATCGTGAGTGAGCAGTACTTATGATATTAGCAATAACTGCAAAATTTTGTGAGGTTTTAAGTGAATAGAGGCCTGTGTCAAAAGGTTAGAACTACCCTGCAGTCTAATAATCATTGTTTATAAAAGAAGACAATTCGGTTAACAAACATGACTAAATGTTAACTGGACTTAGTAAACATCACAAAATAAATCTTGCCGAACTTACCATGAATGGTTGGAGGTGAGTTCCAAGAGTTAAGTTCCAAACTCAATGGCTTCTATCTTGTACTTCCCAATGTACTCGCAAATATTGGCTGTGCCGTGTTTCAATTGTAGAACAAATTGCTGTGCATTAAAATGAACTCAAGTTTATATAATCACCAATGGATGTGAACCATTTGAGTTGCGAAACCCACCTTATCAAGGTAAGGCCACATATCAAAGAGAAACTTGTTTACCAGTCTACCTGTAATCACACTAATATAGTCAATGAGTTACCGCTTCAGGATATAAAGTAAAAATTATAGAACATGAGAAATCAATTAACAGTAACAATGGATAAGTTGAAGAGTGATTTTGTCATTAATCATTTGCGTTAAGTTGCAGTACTTACTCGATCAAAATCAGGACTCTTTATCCATAATGGAATGTCAGGTAGCTTCATACAAAGGAATGTTATCAACTCAAAAGGGGCTTAACCTCTGGATCCTGCATCAGATAATCCAAGCTTAAAACAAAAGATTTTTGCAGGAAGTTTCATCACCAACAACCTAAAATCTCAGATTACAATTGCTAAGTTAAAGAAAACAAATTACAAGACCAATTAAAAAAAAAATTAAAAAGCCTATGATTTCCTTTGCAGGTGAAACTGCTACCCTGTCTTTCATTTCATCCAAACAATCATTCTGGTGCAAAAAGGAGAATTTCTGTCATTTCTAAGATACAAAGCTGAAAGAGGTTTATCTCCATCCAAGGGAATGACAGAGCCTCCAGTGACTCCATTTCATGAGTGAAATTGGATGTATATGTTTTAATAGAAATTCAAACATTACTAAATCCTACATTCATTTTACAGCAAGAATGGTTAAAAAGATGAAAAGAAAAATTCTTCTTCAACTTCAGAGCATTTAGACCATAAGAAACACCAGCTTAAAGACAATATATCAGAAGACAGACCTAAAGAGCCACAACTTGACAGTCATATTCACCTAAATGCAGGTATTAGGGGATTGACAAAGTTAAATAACCGAAAATTCAAAGTGAAGCTAATGCTATACAAAGAAATGACATCTAACAAACAAGTCGCCTAACCACGGATCCGAATGCATCAGTAATCCAAGCTTAAAACAAAAACTATTTGCAGTGAAGTCCGATCCATTGCTGATAACATAAAACCTCAGATTTAAAAACTAATGAACAACTTCAGACTATTTACTGAGCATATTGCAATCAAACAAAAATGAAGTAACATTCCAGAAATTCAATGTGTTTAGAAAAAAAAATGTAACAACTGCTTCTACTTCCTTCAAAATCAAACAGCAAAAATGTGCCTGTGGATTCCCTTTCAAGTGAATTTTATACACTATCTTTCATTCCATTAAATCTAGTTCTTCTTTTTTTTTTTTTTTTTGTATTTATCTAAATAAGCCCTCTATGGTTCAAAAAAAGGTCTTTTTTTTTTCAATTTATAAGAACAGAGGACGGAGATTGATCTCCATTCAAGGGAATGACTAAAATTTCAACACCGAATCCATTTGATGAGTGAAATTAGACTGTATTGTTTAAAAGTGGATGAATACAAATGACCAAAATAATTCATTCATCATTTCAAATCAGCAATAATAAATAGATGAAACAGAAGAACATTTCAACTAAGATTTAGACCATGTGAAACACCTGCCTGAAAAAACTAATATATCTAAGGGCCAAAATTCCATCTAAAATTGGAAAACAAAAGGACAGAAAATCGTCAACTCAGACCATAAAGAGCCATAAATTTACAGTTACATTCACGGAATGCAGATATGTAAAGGAACCGAAAAAGTTGAATAATGACCACAAATACATGTAAGATGAAGAGTGCGACAAACACAGGCAAGCCGTGATATGTACATAGTAAAGAGTGCGCAAAAACAGGCAAGCCGTGATAGTGAACCAAACTTATTGCTTCTAAAGCAAAAAAATTAAAGCATGGAGAAGAAGACTGTTGAATTAATCGCTTTTATATCACAGCCCCCACTGAATAGAGAAAAAAAAAAAAAAAAAAAAAACCAATTCATAAATAAAAAAATGAAAAAAATCCCAATTCCTATATCGGTTAACGAACATTTGATCACAGAAAAAAAAAGTTTCCTTTTATGACAAATGCATACATTTTCACAGAGAAATTAAGAACCCAAGAACGATAATTCGATAAGAAGAGATCACGAATAAATATTGATGTTTGTTACCTCAACTTCATCAGGCTTAGAATAAATAAGAAGAAGAATCCCACCAAGAGTCCAACAGGAATGCCAATAACAAAACGAAATTCCCAGGAACTACTCACAAATCCCATTTGCCCTTAAACGTTTTTTGGAAGAACTCAAAAAAGGTGCATGAAACGAAGGGTTAAAGACGAATGCAACGAAAGAAATGAAGAAAGTATTTTAAAAGGGTGACGAGAGCGTCTAAGAAAAAGTTTGCTGCTTAGAAAACGTAACGAAGACACTGTCGTAATGAAAGCGCCAAAACGGGGCGGAATCTTCTTAGATTTAAAGTGCGAATAAACTAAAATGATTTAAAAAAAAAAAATCACCCTTAAAACTATGAAGACGTTCAAGTACGCTGTCATAGTGTCATGTCACAGTTTTGCGTTGGTTTGTAATGGCGTTTATGATCTTGCCTGCAAGTGTTTCTTCATTAAAACACTAAATCTGATGGAATTTTAATCGGATTTTGATTAAATAGATACTTTAATGAGTTATACTTAATTTATTGTCCATTTTAAAGGAGATTTCTGGTAATTTATATAATTCTTTTAGCACTAGCAAGAGTTTGATTTGCTTAAAATTAATAAGTGATTATGTAGATACAATCTATTGTAAGTCATTCTTTCTATGAAATTTTTATTCCTCTTAAAAAGAATAATATTATATAAACTATTTGGGTAGTCGGGTGAAGCGATAAGGACTTAAGATTATTAAAAAAAAATTGAGTTAATTGCATTCGGTTGTAATAGATGGGTGATCACTAAAGAAATTTACCAATTTTCAATTCAAAACCCAAGAATAATGATACGTGTAAACTGTTCGAAAACCCTGTCACCAAAACAAAACTGATAATATATATATCTTAACAACATCGTAAATTTACATGGGAAAGAGTTAATACATTGTTCTCTAAGATTTTGAAATAATAGAAATCATCTTATGGGTAATTCCTAGATTGGTACGACTGAGAAATTTCATAGCTCTTTCATTTGTCTGAGTCTGCAAGAAAGGCACTAAAACGAATAACTTCTGAAATCCTCACAGTTTGATTTTTATGGGAAAAAAGTTGAATATAGATCAAAAAATATATATATATATATATATATCAAAAAAAAAAAAAAAAAAAAAACCTGATTTTTCGTACTTGTAATTAATAAATGGAAAATATCCATTCAGCTAAAAGCCTAAAACTGAAATGATAAGCTGGGTAATTAGGCCTAATTAAGTTTAGGCTCTCATTATTCTGATAAAATAAAAAACCCGAATATTCAAAGCTTCAAATTTCCTTTCCTTAAATTCAATAGCAAAGCTATGAAAAGAAGATTAAAAATAAGTAGAAAATAGGTCATTTAATTCTATTTTATAAGCAAGAAAACACATTCACAGATCAAAGACATGCATGAAGACAGGCCCATCAATTAAAAACAGTTCATTTTCTTTAGTTTCTCCATTTTCTCAGCAACCAAACAAAGCAGACGCAAAGAAAATAGTTATCTTGAAAAAGCAATAGCTTTAAAACTAAAAACAATAAAACAAACAAACCTTGGAGGATTTGCTTCCACTCTTGGACAACCTTAAACCGTGAGAAGATGAAGTTGCTGTCATAGGGCGAGGACTGCAGGCGTCCCAATTAGCAGGAGATAACAAAGCAGCACTAGATAATCTCTCACGTGAATCATCAACTGAAGAAGAAGGCGGTGGTGATTCATCCAAAGTCTTTGGTACATACACACAAAGATTCAACCCCAAAGCCAACTTAGCTTTTCTCCATTTACTTCCCATTTTTTTGTTTTGTTTTACCTCCAAATGAGAAATGAGCTGCAAACGAAGTAAAAATGAAGAAAAAAAATGGGATCTTGAGGAGATTTTGGTACTGGGATTTTTAGTTTGTTTGTTCAAGATGGGTTCTTGGAATGAGAGAGATAACGTTGAAATGGCCTAATGGGGTTAATGGGGTCTTTAACAAAAGTTAAAATGGAACACGAAAACCAAGAGAAGAGTGAGAGAGAGAGAGAGATCTAATGGAGGTCTCTTTTAGAGTGTTTGTTTATTTATTGGTATTGTAATGAGAAATGTGTATTGGGGAGAGAGCAAGAAGGTTTCAAAATGTCAAAGAGAGGGACTGAGTCGCCATAGGAGAAGACTAGAGCGAGGAGCTAGTGTTGTTGGCCGCCATTGTAAGAGAAGTTGAAAGCTTTGACCTTTGCTTGTTGAGGTTTGAGTTGAGTTTTTAGTTGTAAGAGAGAGAAGAACACATGATAACATGAATTAAAAATAAATAAAAAAGCACGTTTTGGTTGAATGAGAAAAAGCTATTTTTGCTTTTTAACAATTATGCTGCTTTCCCTTTCTTTCCTGTTTTTACCCTTTCTTTTCCTTCTATTTTCATATTTCCAAATTTATTCCATTTATTTATATGTATTTGGTTATTCCAACATTTCTAACATATTTGGAAATTAATAAATACTTTATATATTTGGTTGTTCCAACATTTCTAAGAAAATAAACCTTTTTTTTTAATATTTATCAAATTTCATTATTCATGCATGTCATATTATATAACTAATATGGTAGGTTTTTTTTTAATGACCGAATATGTTTGGGTCAGCTTATATGCACCTTAACTAATTCTTTGAAACTCTAGAACTATCGGTCAGGTAAAAGCTCTAGTGGCTATTTCTATTGCAACCGAGGAAAGATTCAAACTCAAAATCTCTTAAGAGGTACAATCAAGAGTCTATCGAATCACTCGACTACTCAAATGTAATTAACATGGTAGGTCATACAATTAGTTTTTATTTTGGCCCACTCTAACAAAAATTTCTAGATCTGTTACTGATACATTTTATATATTTTAGAGTATTTTTTTTATTATATAATTTTCATTAACCACCTTTTAATCTGGTGTAATTGAGACCTATATCATATAATAATAAAATTTGTAGCATTATTGAAAATTGAATTTGGCAAATAATAAAAGAAAGATTGTTCAAAAATTCACAACTAATAACATTTGTTAGCTATAGTTTAATTTGAAATTTGAAACATTCTATTGCTTAAATAAATATGATGTTCTTCTTTATTAAAATGGATGACATTATTTAGTGGTAGTGGGTTGTTGTCAAATCTCTCAAAAATCACTTTCTTTTTAAAACATTATAATAAATTAAATGTTTGCTGAGTGGGATTTCTTTTTTATTGAGAGACTCATTATACGTTTGAAAAAATAAAAAATAAAATGTTGATGTATGATGATGAGATGAATGGGATGGACCCCATGATGGTAGATGATGATGAATGAAGATGAATGATTTTGTAGAGGAGCATGAGTCAAAATGGTGGGATTTTTATAATCATAAAAAATATTTGGTTCCACATGAGATGATGATGATAAGAATGCCACACGTGCACATGATCATCACATGTCAACTCCTTTGACAATTGTTAGATCCTATTCCCATCACATGAGCTGGATTCATTTTCATTTTCTTTTTATTTTTAATTAGTTTTTAATAAGATATGATGTTCTCTTTCTTGTTATTTATTTTAGATTTATAATTAGGAGCAAGATTCTTTAGCTTTTACCTTAAAAAAAAAAGAAATATAATCGGCAATCGAGTAATTAGGGGTTTTACAACCACTCCTTTCAAGTCAAATTTCGATCAATCTCAACCATCAAAATTCAACATGTTACTACCAAAAGACTTATCGGTCTCTCCTCTTTTAAAGTTCCAATAACATTGATTGAGTTTGATCTCTTTTTTCCATTGGAATATAAATTTGGATAGTAAAATAGTATTTTAAAAGTCTATGGATCAAAAAGTGTCATTAAACCATTATTTGAGTGAGAAAAAGTCATTAACTCTTTGTACTATGATAAATTAAAACAAGGTAATGATATACTTAGATAAAACATTTTGAATTTCCTAATTAACATATAAATAAAAACCCAAATTAGATTATATATTTTTTTTTTATGATTAGAGTGTTCGGGCCAGTTTGCACGCACTTCAATTAATCTTTGAGCCTATTGAATACCCTACAAACTCATTGTTTTAAGATAAGTCACAATTGTGATAAGTGATGTCAAGGTTCAGAACCAAAAAGTCAATGAAGAAGATCATTCTTGACCGTTAGACCAACCCTGTGAAGTTAATTAGATTAGAATAATGCCACGGACACCGATAATTTGCATGGAATTTTTGTACTGACGTACGTGGCATCCAGTTAAACGCAGCCACATTAGAGACAATATTCGTCTTTCGTGAATAAACGGTCGTCCAATAATTATGGATGCTCGTTTATATTTGATGGACGATTGTACATTAGAAATGGACGATCGTCCACCAATCTGGACGAATTCTTATACCAAAATAACAATGGACTCTCGTCCATATTATATGGACAAGGGTCCATTTCCTATGGATGGGTATCCACCTCGAATGGATATCCATCTATAATTTAAATTATAAAAGAATAAGGATGGACACCCGTCCATATCTATTTTCAATAATAATAATAATAATAACATATTAAAAAATGCATGAGTATTTATTGGTCTCTTATACGGGGAAATACAGAGCTTTAGACTTTAGAAGTCAAATGATGCTTTTGTTTCACACGAAATTCATTGCTGGCCTGCAAAATCGAAATAAATCAATATACCATTTACCAACATAAGAATATGTCTGTAATCTAAATGAGAAGCAAAACTAAAATATTCAAAATAATCAATACCTTGGTATCTGTATGCCAATGAACGATCGTCCATATTTAATAGACAGCCATATCATATGGACAGACATCTATTATTATATTTTTAAAAATTTATGGGTGGGCATCCATTTGAAGTGGATACCCGTTCATAGGAAATAGACTCTCGTCCATATAATATGAACATGAATCCATTGTTATTTTCATATGAAATTAGTGAACGGTCATCCATTCGTAATGAACGGTCGTCCATTAAATATGGACGGGCGTCCATAATTGTTGGACGACCGTTCATTCACAGAAAACATATTTTGTCTTTAACATGATCGCGTCTGACTGGATGTCACGTCCTTCGGTGTAAAAAATGGTAGCATTATTGATTAGATTATATTATTCATTCAATAATCTTTCTTAAAACAAGTCAACAAGGAATGATTATCTTTAAATTTACATTTTGTGAAACATTATTAATTTTTTTTATTTTTTTTTTTAAGTTAGAAACTTCGAAATGTTGACATTTGAATTGACTGTATATTTATCTTATATTTTTAAGACATGATAACAATATACAATAAAATTTTGAAAATATCTTCAGGACATTTCGAAGTGGAGTGACAAAATATTCTATATATATACGTTGAATTGTCCTCCCACGTAGTTATTAAAAAGGTTGAACTTTTAAGTATGCTCAATTCATGATATTTATTAATAACAATATATATATTAAATGAATGACTTTTCTAGTTTTCTAAACCTCTATGAATATATTAATGTCCTCCATTCGTTTAAATACCAATAAATAACTTGGATACGTGTGCATATTTGTAACCTTTTGTTTTGATAATCTCACACAAAACGTTGTTCTAAGAACCCCCAGAAGCCCGCCCTCAAAATTATCATTCAATGGTCAAATTCTACCCACATTGAAATCTTCAAAATATATAGCCTCTATCCTCTGAGTTTAGATATATTTAAACAACAGTTGAATAGATTCACAAGTTTCCAGCAAGTTATGGAGTTATTCAAGATAACCATGCTCATACTTTTCTTTGAAATTGAAACCTACTGAATTGACCTGACTTAGTCATCATATTTGCCTCAAAAGTTTCCATGAAAATTAGGGTTTATATTTAGTTTCATATTTAAGGTTATCTCATCAATATAAAGTGGTGTATTAAATGTTTGTTTAATGGATTTGATAAGAGTTAAAAGAGGGTTTGATTAGTAAGAGAATAAGTTCAAATCTATTGATTATGGGCAGGCACTAACAATAAATGGAAGAGGAGGGTTGAAGGAGAAATAAAGAAGGATTCTAGAGAATTTAAGTAGTGTGAAAAATGGACCATTTCAAATCATTCTCGAGTCACCAATGGAAGAGAAGAAGAATTGCTGAAGTTGGGTCCAGGATGTATGCATTATTTGTAGAATAGTAGAGGGCACATATTCATGGAATTTGATTCTTCTCTCCATGAAAAATACTACTACTACTACTACTACGACTACAACAACATTTCTTTATCACAACATATTCAGTGGAGATGGAATTTTTCATTGCTTTCAAAAGTTTCATGTTGGAGCATCAAAAAATTATAGTTCAAACTTCAAAGTGTATATCACAACATATATCAAAATCTTACATATATGCATGTATATGTGCAGTAAATACGAATGAAAACTGATCATCTAAGATGAGTTATAAATCAAAATGCTTTGTTATATAAATTACATGTATATTTTGACATTATTTTATATATAGGGTTCATGAGTGATTACATTTTTTTGGTCTGAAATTTGATTTGACGTTATTTTATATAATATGGTTTATGGGTGATTACATCTTTTTGGGTCTGCAATTTAAAGAGCAAATGTAAGTGTGTGTGTATATATATATATATGAACTCTGCATATAAATAAAAACAGATAGTATGAGATAAGTTATAAATTAAAACGTCTTATAAGTTATGGTTTATGGGTGATTATCTGAAATGTAAGTTTTTCATTTAAAAAAAGAAAAAAGAGAGTAAGAAGAAGATGATGATGATGATGATGGAGATGAATGATATGGTGGGTATGAGTGGGGGAGATTGGTATACCCACTAACTTTCGATTTACTAACTTAAAAAGACAACCTTTTAAAAGGTGGGGGGAAAAATGTTCTATCTTTTTAGGATTGGAAAAGTTATTCCTCTCCCCACAAAACATCAACAAGCTAGGAACCAAACAAGCCTGTGACTTCCTTTTTAAAGAAAGAAAAAAAAAAATGTTTTACTCCTCTTTTGAGAGCACACATGCTTCACACAACTTGAGAGAGAAAGAGAAAGAGAGAGCAATAATGATGAGTGCTTCTCTTGAGTGGAGATCCATTAACAAAAGAATTTTCGTAAAAACTCCTTGATGAATGAAGAGGATAGGATTCCCTCTAAATTTGCCAGACTTTCTGCCCAAAGTCAACTACAAAGCTGTCTTCTATTTTTATAAGGCATATGAACTTCTCTTATTGTGCTCCCCACTTAACATCATCGAGATGTCTTCTTATTCCCTGCTTTTACCATTAATAACAAAAACAAAAATCTGTAAAATTGAAATATCCAAATCCAGGATTTAATGTTAGATGTGAAATACGTTTATTTTCTTGTTATCTAGTTGTATTGCAACAAGATACGGTTAGAAATAGCTCCATGTTAGAGTTGTCGATCCCTTCAACAATAAGGCAGTTTAAGCTTTTTCCATAAAGAACCGAATGATTTTTCAAAGTTATTTATTTATTATTAAGTTTGGGTTTAGGAATATGAATACTTGTAATAGTAAGGTTTAGTCTTTTAAACTTAATATATAAACATATTTTTCTTTTGTATAAGTATGATAGAAAATTATGCGACAAATTACATTGACTGTAAATGAGAGAGGTGAGACAGTATTACAATAATATTGACTCTACTAAACGTAATCTGTTAACTGGATAAACCATGATAAGATTTGATATCTCTCATCCGTTTATGTTTTGTTTGGATGGGTCACTAAACATTAAAAACTTAGATTTAGTTGTCAAAGATAGTGTTTAGAGCATAAATTATGTTCCTAAACTTTGGTGGTGGAGATAATTAAAAATTAATTAAAGAATGATAATATTCTTTGAAAGATACTATTACGAGAAGAAGGGAAATCTTAAACAGGGAACAAGTAGCTTTTACAGAAATATGATGTCACATGTATTGATGATGATCATGATCATGATCATCACCAAGTCAAACCTAATCCATGCACTTTGTGGGCTCCATTTTTATTTATTTATTTATATATCATCTCCAGCAATTTGAGTATGCTTATGCTTTTTCTTTTTGTATATTATTACTATTTTCTTTTCATAAAAGGAAATTTATGATTGTGTGCATGCATGTTGTATTTAAAGTGAAATCTATGTAAAAAATTTGCATAACTGACTCCTCCAATCAGAATTCTTGTGTCTTAATTAATTTTATTTATTTATTTATTTTTATTTTACACTATTTTGTTAAAATAAATAGAAAATAAGCATAACTGTGTGACAATATTACCACCCTTGGGTAACACAAGTGGTAGTCGCCTAGCTGGTAGGATGAGCATTAGGATGTCTGGTTAAAGGCTTATGATCTCAGGTTTGAATCTCTTTAGCTCCCAAGATTTAAATAGGAGTCGTGATGATGGGTTATTGCGTTAATCTCCCTCAAGAATTAACGATTTAAATGGGGAGCCATGGCGGGAGATTGTTATACTAGTCTCCTCTGAGGATTAGCTGAAGTACTCTAAAGGTGACCTAGACACCCTACTTATAAAAAAAATAAAAGTGTGACAATATTACAACTTTATCGACTTAAAAATGTTATAATTAGGGACCAACCTACTTATATATGAGTGGGGGCTGGTGACCCTCTCAAGAAAAAGATTTCTTTAATTTTATTTTGATTAGACTGTGTTTGTATTAATATTTTTAGATTTAACCTCATTAATTTACTTTATCATATTTTATATTATTTTATTTTGAATTTACCCCCCTAAAATTAATTTGTGTCCACCAACTTGTTATTAATAAATAATAATTAAATCTATTTACTTCTATAAGATCCAATTATATTAAACTCTTAGAATTCACTAATGATACTATCTACTATCTAGTAACTATATTTTCTTGAAACTGATTAAAATTATAAAGACTAAGATTGAAACAATCGGTTACTTCAATCATCATGTAGTCATGTACTGCCCTTTTAGGTTATGGGCCGAACCTCTTACGTTAAATTGACCCATGTCCAAGCCCAGTTCAGGAAGCCCAAAACAGTCATAACTGCGGGCAATTAAGACATATTGTTTTAAAACCCGACCCGTTGTGAGATCTAGTAAGATGACCGGGTCACGGGTCGACCAGTTTAACCGATTGGACTGATGACGTTAACAATAATTTTATTTTTGAAAAATTTAATTAATCCCTTAAATTTAGTATATAACAAAAATACCCTTAAAATATTTTATTAGTCCCTAAAATTTGTATTTATTACAAAAATACCCCAAAAAATTACCAATTAATCCCTAAACTTTTGATATATCTCCAAAACACTCCTATAAAATTATTAGTCCCTACAAGTTTGAAATATTACAAAAAAAACCCTGAAACCTGAATAGGACCAGAGAAGTTGCCAGGTCCCGATCAGACCAGTCCGGGTTTTAATTCTTAACTGCCAGCAGTTATGATTGTTTTGGGCTTAATTTAAGAGCAAAACCAAACTATGCACAAAATTTAGAATTGAAATACGTATGCAAGACAGTATATGTATCAATTATCATAGTACTTTAAAGACTCTATAGAAGTGCCAAAATTTCATCATTTGAATATTTCGATTTATGAAACAAATTCTAATGTTTTTGAACAGCTTTCTATACAAATGCAGTATCTCCTGATATTCAACCTTTCCCAACAAAGAAAAGAAATAACTACACTTTGGAGTTACAACATTTACCATCATCCTACCCCTCAGATTTGTAGTTACATCCCATTTATCTGCATATCTTTTCTCATATCGTTGTCCACTTTATCTCAACATGTATAATGCCATTCTTGGAATTGATTAGATGGTATTTTTCATTGATGCGTCCATTGTGCACAACATCAGTAAGATTAATTTCTACATATCCCAGTGATTCCTGCATAAATAGAAGATGGCTTTAATTTCGAGCTTAGTAAAAAATATGTAAAAAATATACTAGGTAAGATTGAGAGTGTCATGCTACCAGTGCTCGAAACCTAAAGCCTGTCCGCTTACTCATAACCTCAATATGGATCTTCTCATGTAAAGGAGCATCCTCAAGCATAAACTGGAACTCTTCGTTCCATAGAGGGTTACGATTTTTTTTTATCAGCTGCAGAAATGAAAATGTGCTTAGCCAAAAAATATATCTTTAACTGAACATCCAGCTGAGTTTCTCAACAGGACTGCAGCTAACAGAAAATTCAACTCAACCCGAAATTTATTTTACTAAGCATATGGAGGAAGCAAGAAATATCAGTTCTATAAAACATGAATATCTGATTGATTCTGGGAAAGTAGTCACAATATAACATACAAGTGAAAGGTATCGGTATATATTAAGAAAAAAAGTTCACCTTTGTTTTCTTTTTTTCTCCTCTAAAAAGGACTAAAGTGTAAGGATTGTTGTGACGCTCCCCTTCTACGTCTTCAGCTCCTTGGACTATAACTGAAAGTAAACCTGCTCTGCCCAAGGTCTCCTGATTCACATTGAACGACTGATTAATTCCACTATCCATTGTGCTATATTTCTCTGATAGCGCAGTACTGAACTTGCAGCTGTCTTCTCTAAAAGGTACATAGGTAAGCTCAACTACAATTTGCCCTCTATGACTCTTGTCTTTAGGATCAGTAATATTTGTGTGCTTGAGCAAATCTAGAGTAAATTCTTTCGTCTCATTTGGTGTAAGTACTTTTAGGGGAACCAATTGCATTCCCAACCTGTCATGTCTGCCAACCTGTGAATATAAAGCCGAAGAAAATATCCTCAGTATAACTAGACTCCAATAGATTATTCATGAGAAACTTGAAAGAAAACGAAATCTTTGTCGACACAACAAATACTGATTTTTTTTCTTTTCCCTGATTTTTAACAGCAACAAAGTGGATAAGGGAAAAACCTTGTCCCAGTCAAATACTTGTAATTGAAGGACTTGAGATTGGGGTTCCTTCACAAGAAGCTTGAAGTTTTCGTTCCATTCAGGATTTAAGTTCCTCTTTTTGATGGTGGTTTTCTTCGATGGTAGCCTCTCCCCAGTTAGGCTGAGTTTGACATAAGGATCAGACGTTCCAAGAAAGTCCTTCTTTAAGAGTTTCATAGCCCGCGCAACCTTCACACGTAGTATCCCCACAGGCTTCTTTATGGCCATACTAGACAAAGATGACAAAAGTATTTATCAGAAAAATAAAAAAATAAAGATAACATATAAGAAATCCGGTTAGTTTGCTCTCTATTTTACTAGCCTTCATTACTTCACTTCAGGGATTTGTTACTTGCATGAATCCCTTGTAAGGATTATGCACTTAAACTAGACTAAAAGCTAGCTATTGGCAAAGGTACAACCTCATTTCCTTAAACTTTCCAGCCTCACGTCTACAGTTTGACTGTGACTTGGCCTCTGCCACATGGCAGGATCCTGGCCCACCTGACCAACAGGCCTTAAGCTAGAAGGAGGTTATTGCATAAACAGCTCTTGAAGTTTGGTTTGTTTATGAACTCAATGGAAAGATCCTTGTATATAGTTTTCCAAGTCTACACAAAATCTGATAGCTTAATTTCACAGAATTCATGTAAAAAAATTTTAATTTTATGAAGGAAATATCTAGATCTTTCTTGAATGTAACACATTATTCCTTACGTCTAAAATTTTAAATTATAAATAAGGAAGGCATGAAACCTGTAAATTCAAGCACCATTAGAAAACAAAAATGTTTAATCATTTAATAAAACTTACGCTGAATCATCAAGAATTGGTATGTCAAGTGTTTGGGGCCAAAGGTAGAGGCTTGCAACATATTTCTGAATAGATTTCTGCAAGAACCGAGAACATTGGTTGATTCTTAACCAGCCAAAAGTAAGCACACATAACATCCGCAAACAACCAAATTTAAAATATATATTTAGACCCAATCCCTACCCAAGAGAGAATCACCAGTTTAGCACCTGAATGAATTGATAAAGGCCAGGTATTGACATGATGTCCCCTCCTAGTACTTTCACTCCAAAATCTACGTGTGGCTGCAATCAATGAAAAAATTATCATACAAAATGCACTAATCCATTCACTTTGAATTACAACAGAGATAGAATCAACACCTTGAGTGAAAAAAGAGATTTTCTTACCTTCTCCATCAAAGACACTGCAATTTTTCCAAAGCACGGAAAGGTAGGAACAAGAGGTTTCAAAGTTAACCGAGGTGCCGCAAATATTTGCAAATCCACTAACTGAGAAGAAGCAGAATCAATCTCGTGAAAGAAACATAATTTCTTGATATTTATAGGAACTAAAAATATTCATTCTTCTGTTAATATTTTGTCCTTAGACTCTTCTGACCTGAACTGTAATTTGGAAAGACAACAATTTTATCACCAAAACCATGTTGGGATTGCCAGCCAATCTCATTGCTGGTTCCATTACTAGCTCCTTTTCATTGGTCTCATAGACTCTGATACCTGAAATATTGTATAAGTAAACTTAAAATGAAATGCAAAAGAAAGGAAGTGCCAAGTCTTGCTAGCATCCTGTATCTTTGGGAAATTGAAATAAATAACTCAAATAAGTAGATCTGCTCTTCCTACATATGCTTTAATCAAGATTAAGCATAAAATTGTTATGAATACTTGATTATTTATGTATGATTCTAGATTGACAGCATATGTTTCCATTTCTTTATCTTGAACTTCCAACAGTAACTTTCCAGAGATTCTTAAAAATTACATCAACTGAATCCTAGAAAACATTCAATGTGGCATATGAAATATCAGCATATAACATCGTGAGTGAGCAGATACTTATGATATTAGCAAATAACTGCAAAATTTTGTGAGGTTTTAAGTGAATAGAGGCCTGTGTCATAAAGGTTAGAACTACCCTGCAGTCTAATAATCATTGTTTAATAAAAGAAGACAATTCAGTTTAACAAACATGACTAAATGTTAACTGGACTTAGTAAACATCACAAAATAAATCTTGCAGAACTTACCATGAATGGTTGGAGGTAGAGTTCCAAGAGTTAAGTTCCTAAACTCAATGGCTTCTATCTTGTACTTCCCAATGTACTCTGCAAATATTGGCTGTGCCGTGTTTCTAATTGTAGAACAAATTGCCTGTGCATTAAAATGAACTCAAGTTTAATATAATCACCAATAGGATGTGAACCATTTGAGTTGCGAAACCCACCTTATCAAGGTAAGGCCACATATCAAAGAGAAACTTGTTTAACCAGTCTACCTGTATAATCACACTAATATAGTCAATGAGTTACCAGCTTCAGGATATAAAGTAAAAATTATACGAACATGAGAAATCAATTAACAGTAACAATGGATAAGTTGAAGAGTGATTTTGTCATTAATCATTTGCGTTAAATTGCAGTACTTACTCGATCAAAATCAGGACTCTTTATCCATAATGGAATGTCAGGTAGCAGTTCATACAAAGGAATGTTATCCAACTCAAGAAGGGGCTTAACCTCTGGATCCTGCATCAGATAATCCAAGCTTAAAACAAAAAGATTTTTGCAGTGAAGTTTCATCACCAACAACCTAAAATCTCAGATGTACAATTGCTAATGACAACAGTCAAACAAAAAGAAGTAAAACTTCTGCCAAGTTAATAGTTCACTGTTAAAGAAAACAAATTACAAGACCAAATTTAAAAAAAATTAAAAAGCCTATGAGTTTCCTTTGCAGGTGAAACGTGCTACCCTGTCTTTCATTTCATCCAAAAAAAATCCATTCTGGTGCAAAAAGGGGAATTTCTGTCAATTTCTAAGATACAAAGCTGAAAGAGGTTATTCTCCATCCAAGGGATGACCAGATGCCTCCAGTGACTCCATTTCATGAGTGGAAATTGGATGTATATGTTTTAATAGAAATTCAAACATACTAAATCCTACATTCATTTTACGCAAGAATGGTTAAAAAGATGAAAAGAAAAATTCTTCTTCAACTTCAGAGCATTTAGACCATAAGAAACACCAGCTTAAAAGCAAATTATCAGAAGACAGACCCTAAAGAGCCACCAACTTGACAGTCATATTCACCTAAATGCAGGTATAGGGGATTGACAAAGTTAATAACCGAAAATTTCAAAGTGAAGCTAATGCATACAAAGAAATGCATCTAACTCAACAAGCGCCTAACACGGACCTGAATGCATCAGTAATCCAAGCTAAACAAAAAACATATTTGCAGTGAAGTCCGATCCATTGCTGAACATAAAACCTCAGATTTTAAAAACTATGAACAAACTTCAGACTTTAATTACTGAGCATATTGCAATCAAACAAAATGAAGTAAACATTCCAGAAATTCAATATGTTTAAGAAAAAAAATTGTAACAACTGCTTCTGCTTCCTTCAAAATTCAAAAAGCAAAAATGTGCCTGTGGATTCCCTTTCAAGTGAATTTTATACACTATCTTTCATCTCTAAATCTAGTTCTTCTTTTTTTTTGATTTATCTAAATAAGCCTCTATGGTTCAAAAAAAGGTCATTTTTTTTTCAATTTACTATAACGAGGACGGAGATTGTCTCCATTCAAGGGAATGACTAAAATTTCAACACCGAATCCATTTGATGAGTGAAATTAGACTGTATTTGTTTAAAGGTGATGATACAAATGTCACAAAATAATTCATTCACTCATTTCACAGCAATAATAAAATAGATGAAACAGAAGAACTATTTCAACTAAAGATTTGACCTGTGAAACACCTGCCTGAAAAACTATATATTCTAAAGGGCCAAAATTCCATCTAAAATTGGAAAACAAAGGACAGAAAATCGTCAACTCAGACCATAAAGAGCATTAACATACAGTTACATTCACGGAATGCAGATATGTAAAGGAACCGAAAAAGTTGAATAATGACCACAAATTCATAGTAAAGAGTGCGACAAACACAGGCAAGCCGTGATATGTACATAGTAAAGAGTGCGACAAACACAGGCAAGCCGTGATATGTGAACCAAAACTTATTGGCTTTCGAAAAGCAAAAAAATTAAAGCATGGAGAAGAAGACTGTTGAATTAATCCGCTTTTATATCACAGCCCCCACTGAATAGAGAAAAAAAAAAAAAAAAAAAAAAAACCAATTCATAAATAAAAAAATGAAAAAAATCCCAATTCCTATATCGGTTAACGAACATTTGATCAGCAGAAAAAAAAAGTTTCCTTTTTATGACAAATGCATACATTTTCACAGAGAAATTTAAGAACCCAAGAACCGATTAATTCGATAAGAAGAGATCACGAAATAAATATTGATGTTTGTTACCTCAACTTCATCAGGCTTAGAATAAATGAAGAAGAAGAATCCCACCAAGAGTCCAACAGGAATGCCAATAACAAAACCGAGAATTCCCAGTAAACTACTCACAAATCCCATTTGCCCTTCAACGTTTTTTGGGAAGAAGCTCAAAAAAGGTGCATGAAACGAAGGGTTAAAGACGAATGCAACGAAAGAAAATGAATGAAAGTATTATTAAAAGGGTGACGAGAGCGTCTAAGAAAAATGTTTGCTGCTTAGAAACGTAACGAAGACACTGTCGTAATGAAAGCGCCAAAAGCGGGGAAGAATCTTCTATATAGATTTAAAGTGCGAATAAACTAAAAATGATTTAAAAAAAAAAAATCACCCTTAAAACTATGAAGACAGTTCAAAGTACGCTGTCATAGTGTCATGTCACAGTTTTGCGTTTGGTTTGTAATGGCGTTTATGATCTTGCCTGCAAGTGTTTCTTCATTAAAACACTAAATCTGATGGAATTTTAATCGGATTTTGATTTATAAATAGAATTTACTTTTAATGGAGTTCATACAACTTTAATAAAATATTTATTGTTACCATTTTAAAGAAGATTTCTGGTAATTTATATAGAATTCTTTTTTAGCACTAGCAAGAGTTTTGATTTGCTTAAAATTAATAAGTGATTATGTAGATACAATCTAATTGTAAGTCATTCTTTCTATGAAATTTTTAATTCCTCTTTAAAAAGAATAATATTATATAAACTATTTATAGGTGATCGGGTGAAGCGATAGAGATTTTTTGATATATTATTTAAAAAAATTTGAGTTTAATTGCCTTCGGTTGTTAATAGAGGTGAATAACCACTAAAGAGTTTATCCAATTTTCCCAATTTTCAATTTCAAGACCTCGAAAAATTAATCGAAATACGTGTAAACTGTTCTGAACAATCCTGGTCACCAAAACAAAACTGAATAATATTATATATCTTAACAACATCTCAAATTTTATATGGGAAAGAGTTAATACATTGTTCCCTAAGATTTTTGAAATAATAGAAATCATCTTATGGGTAATTCCTAGATGTTACAATAAAACGATAGGAGAGCATTTTAATAAAAAATTTATTTACTCATAATAATGTAAACGCTAACTATTCTTTACTGGTAGGTTTTTTATTTTTAATTATTTTATAAACCTCATGGAGATTTTGTTATTACATTGAACCTCAAGGGTTCCTTGTAAATCTATTCCTAATAATATATGAATAAATATTCCACCAGATGAAATTAGATTGCAGATTTCGAAATGTACATTTTTCAAGCTTCAAATTTCAATGCAAAGACAAGAGAGAAAGAACCAAAATATGTTTGGTAATCTAAAATCAATTAACAGAGGAAACTTCGGGCCAGATATGTCCAAAAAAAATACATAGAAAAATCTTGCTTTATTTTACTTATCTTTTAAGCTTTAACTTTTTATAAAGTTATTTAAAGGGTGTTTTGTAAAATACTAGGATGTTAATTAATTTTATAACAAAGATTGATTAAGATTTAATTTGGAGTGAGAAGAAAGGGACAAGTGGAAGTGGGTAGTGTTTATGATAAGCTACGTTACAAATTGGAATGGGGGCATTCGGCAGATTGACAAGGAGTTGGCCAACTAATTTTATAATATTAGTTGGACATTAAGACTTTGATTTTTTATTTTTTATTTTTTATTTTTTTATGATCAGAGTGTCCAGACAAGCTTACGCGTACTTCAACTAATCTCTTAAAACCTTGAAACTATCGATTGAGTAAAAGCTCTAGTGATCACCCCTATTAACATCCAATGACAGACTCGAACTTAGAACCTCTTGAATAATACACTAAAGAGTCTTTATCAAACCATTAACTACCCAAAGGTAGTTTAAGAATTTGATTTTATCAATTAACCAATCACACAAATCAATTTCCAAACTCTACCGTATGCTTTGGAAATTTGATATGGTCACCTATGCTTTATATTATATATGCAAAGAGAAAATCTATCTGACAATATTTCTGGTGAAAGATTTGGCAAGTTAGTCATTGTCCAGTATAAGCCATTACTAGATAAATTTCACTGGAACCAGAACAGTTCATTTATAAGAGAGAGATATATATATATTATGAAACTATATGTTTGGATCTTAAATTTTGTATAGTTATTTTTGGTCCCTACAAAAAAAAATTATGTAGGAAATTACATTAAAGAGGGATAACAGTGAAACTTTTAAAAATAAGGGAGTCAAAATATACTTTTAAAAATAAGGGAGTCAAATTCACTTTTAGGTGATGAAATTGAAATTTTTATTTGCAAAATTTCAAAACGTCCATCAAGGCCTGTGCTCCGACCTATCATCAATCTCCGTCAATGAAATTTGTGATCTAACAGGAGTAAAGCGACAAAACGACTATAATACCCTTTACTGTTTAACTTTGTAATTTTTAAAGAGGTCGAATTACAATTTCCCACCAAAAAATTATTAAATGTATTTTCACCCTAGTTTGGTAAATATTAATTTTGGGGTTAATAAATTAAAAAAATTTAGAAAAAAAGATAAGGTCAATTATAAATTAAAAAATTCCTAAAAAAAAAAAATCAGTTGGCTGAAATATTGAATATTTTTTTCACATTCTTATATTTTTGAATTTTTTTTTTTTTTTACAATTTTTCAGTTTTTTTTTTCCTTTTTTCAGAAATTATTTTATAAAATTTATATTTGAAGATATATTATAAATGAAAAGTTTTTTGTATTTTTTTTTATAGAAACATATATACTTAAGTGAATGCTCGATTTTTTTATTACATATATTATTATAAATGAAAAGTTTTTTGCTTTTTTAATAGAAACAAATATACTTTTAACTGAAACCTCCGTTTTAATGGTACAAATTGAAGATAGGGTGTTTGAGTGACTGTTTCCCAAATTGGTGAAAACGGTATATGTTTGTATTTTAGGGGTGTAAGTGACATTAACATATAATATAGATTGTGCCGAAAAGAATACCCTTTCCCCGTTAAACTAACGCAAATTTAAGGATGGATGGAAGACGATTTTATTTTTAAAAAAAAAAAAGTGTAAGGGAAAATGTACATTCACCAAACTTAATGGAAAAATGTGATTCAGCCTTAGTTTGGGATTTTTAAGTTATCGTTAACAAAAATAATTTTTTTAATACATGTGCCTTTCAAAAATAACATACGGTAAATTATACATATTAATATGATAAAAGACAGTGGAAATGGATACCTAAAAGTAGGGGCAGACTGAGCCCTGAGCTAGCCTCACATTTAAAAAAAAAAAAAATTGCTTATATAGGCCCACCAAAAAATCAGTATAAAGTATATATCCAAACCTACCTTTAGATTTAAAAAAATAAGAATTATTTAACATATATCCAGATCCACAAAAAACTTTCTATTAATATATATATTACAGAGTAAGACCCACATCATATTAAAAGTTTAAAACTCTCTTGCTCTTCTCCACGACTCCACCATTTTTTATGTTTTATCCACAAAATTCCGTACTCTCCATTCTCTTCATGTATTGTTTAAAACTTTTGAAGACTGAAATTGTTGAAGCAACACTTAAGGTGCACAATTAGCTCAGTTTTTTGTTTTATCAGTTTTAGGTATGTGTATCGCCCATTTTAATTTAGTTTTTTTGGAGGTTTTTTATTCTATATTGATGGAAAAAGCGCATCTTGTGAGTTTGTTTTGTGTTTTGTTTCTAGAATGTTCATGCTTTTAATTAAACCTTAACTATATTTATGGATGTATTTTCACTTTTCACCCACCATTCTATATTTCGTTTAGTTGCTCGAAATTATTAAGGAAATTTGAATTATTATCTATGTTTATACCAAAAAAATTCTCTTTTTTTTTATTAATTCATATAAAAATCAACGCAACGTTCGCTTGATTTTAGTTTTGGTTGACTTTAGCTTAAGGTAGGTTTGATCAAAATCACGAAAAATTTATATTATAATCTTTGGAAGCAAAAAAAAAAAAAAAAAAAAAAAAATGTAAAAGGGAAGAAGAATGTTGGAATAAGAAAATGTGTGGAATTTTTTTATTGTAATTGCTGTAAACTCTTTGATTATATTAGATTTAAAGGATCGCTAGATTTCTGTAGTTTTTTGCTCTCTTCACATTAAGAGGGTTTTCACGTAAAAAAAATTTCATGTTTTCCTTGGAATTGAATGTTATTGTCAACACATTTGTTCAAGATTTTGCTTTCATATATTTATTCAAGTAAGAAAATATATATTATTGCATTATTTCCTTTCAGGTTTTTCATATTGTATTATTTCAGTGTTTAAAGTTTGGTATTTTTAAAATTTTTCACTAATGTTTGGCAAACAATAACAGAGCCACAGAGACCCTCCTCGACAAAAATTCTGGGTTTGCCACTACCTAACGTAGAAATTATACATATCAAATGGTCCAAACTATAGATAGAAATAAAATTTGGTGTGAGAGTATAATACACAAAGAAATTATGCTTGAAAGATTGGATCTGAGTGCATTTAAATTTAATAAATAAAGCTTCAGCAAAGCCATTTATTGATTGATGGTATGCTTTGGAAAAAGTGATTATTCTGGCAATTTTATTAATTTAATCAAATTCTGAATTCTTTTATATTTTTCTGGGTAGTTCTTGCAGAAGATTCTTGTTTTTGTCTCTCGAAGTATTCAAAACGAAAACAGGTTCTATTTGGCCATGGTTATGCAAAATGTCATGCTAAAGAGAGAAAAATAACAATTTCATCCCTGAGGTTCGGTATACTTTAGTTTTATAAAGTCTTCAGCAACGTTTTGGCCTATCATTTTTCAAACCCAGAAAACCAAAATGTTACTAAAAATTTATAAAACTAAAGTTACTTGTATCAAACATGTATCATGCTGCAATTGACCGTATTATTAAAAGCTTTAGAATAATATTTGAATAATAATTTTCATTTTCAAATACAATCCAACTACAATCTAATTTTTTGGATTATATGATCGTTTAAAAAACTGTTTTTGGTATCATAAACCAACCAAATTGTCCTGGAATATTCTCAATGTACTTGTTGTTAATAGGATAATCACTAGAACTGGTACCGATGACGGATGTTAGTGTCTAGGTTTTAGGATCCTAGAGGATTAATTGAAGTATACGTAAACTTGTTTGAATACTCCCGATCATTTATATATATTTATATACAAAAGTAATGCTACAGACATTGAAAAAATACACCGAAATCGTTACC